TTAACTCCACACCTTTTTCCTAATTTCCACACTCGAATTTTCTGCATAATATTTACACCACACATTGCCCTTAGACAGGACATCTCCACTGCCTCCAACCGTCTCCTCGCTGCTGCATTTACCACCCAAAGCTTCACACCCATATAAGAGTGTTGGTACTACTATACTTTCATACATTCCCTTCTTTGCCTCCATAGATAACGTTTTTTGACTCCACATATACCTCAACGCACCACTCACCTTTTTTCCCTCATCAATTCTATGATTAACCTCATCCTTCATAATCCATTCGCCGACACGTCAATTCCCAAGTACATATCTGAAAACATTCACTTCTTTCCATACTCCTCCTCCCCCAATTTGATATCCAATTTTTCTTTATCTAAATCATTTGATACCCTCATCACCTTACTCTTTCTATGTTCACTTTCAACTTTCTACCTTTGCACACATTCCCAAACTCATCCACTAACCTTTGCAATTTTTCTTTAGAATCTCCCATAAGCACAGTATCATCAGCAAAAAGTAACTGTGTCAATTCCCATTCTGAATTTGATTTCCCTTAATTTAAATCCACCCCTCTCCCAAACACCCTAGCATTTACTTCTTTTACAACCCCATCTATAAATATATTAAACAACCATGGCGACATTACACATCCCTGTCTAAGACCTACTTTTACCGGGAAGTAGTCTCTCTCTCTCTTCTACACACCCTAACTGAGCCTCACTATCCTCATAAAAACTCTTTACAGCATTTAATAACTTACCACCTATTCCATATACTTGCAACATCTGCCATATTGCTCCTCTATCCACTCTATCATATGCCTTTTCTAATCCATAAATGCAATTAAAAACTTCCCTACCTTTATCTAAATACTGTTCACATATATGCTTCAATGTAAACACTTGATCTACACATCCCCTACCCACTCTGAAACCTCCTTGCACATCTGCAATCCTACATTCTGTCTTGCCTCTAATTCTTTCAATTATAACCCTACGTACACTTTTCCTGGTATACTCAGTAAACTTATTCTCTATAATTTTTACAATCACTTTTTGTCCCCTTTCCCTTTATATAAAGGGACTATACATGCTCTCCGCCAATCCCTAGGTACCTTTCCCTCTTTCATACATTATGAAACAAAAGTACCAACCACTCCAACACTAATAATTACCCTGCTCACACTCCAACAGATCAGTCAAGTCCCAAATACCATTCGTCTCCATTCACTCCTATCGAACATGCTCAACACACGCCTGCTGGAGTCCAAGCCCCTCGCCCACAAAACCTCCCTTACCCCTTCCTTCAAACCTTTTTGAGGATGACCCCTACCCCGCCTTCCTTTCCCGACAGATTTAAACGCTCTCCACGTCATTCTACTTTGATCCATTCTCTCTTAATGGCCAAAGCACCTCAACAACCCCTCTTCAGCCCTCTGACTAATACTTTTATTAACTCCACACCTTCTCCTAATTTCCACAGTCTGAATTTTCTGCATAATATTTACACCACACATTGCCCTTAGACAGGACATCTCCACTGCCTCCAACCGTCTCCTCGCTGCTGCATTCACAACCCAAGCTTCACACCTATATAAGAGTGTTGGTACTACTATACTTTCATACATTCCCTTCTTTGCCTCCATAGATAATGTTTTTTGTCTCCACATATACTTCAATGCACCACTCACCTTTTTTCCCCTCATCAATTCTATGATTAACCTTATCCTTCATAAATTCATCCGCCGACACGTCAACTCCCAGGTATCTGAAAACATTCATTTCTTCCATACTCCTCCTCCCCTATTTGATATCCAATTTTTCTTTATCTAAATCATTTGATGCCCTCATCACCTTACACTTTTCTATGTTCACTTTCAACTTTCTACCTTTACACACTCTCCCAAATTCTTCCACTAACCTTTGCAAATTTTCTTTAGAATCCCCAATAAGCACAGTATCATCAGCAAAAAGCAACTGTGTCAATTCCCATTTTGTATTTGATTCCCCATAATTTAATCCCACCCCTCTCCCAAACACCCTAGCATTTACTTTTTACAACCCCATCTATAAATATGTTAAACAACCATGGTGACATTACACATCCCTGTCTTAAGACCTAATTTTACCGGGAAGTAGTCTCCCTCTCTTCTACACACCCTAACCTTAGCCTCACTATCCTCATAAAAACTCTTTACAGCATTTAGTAACTTACCACCTATTCCATATACTTGCAACATCTGTAGTAATTACGGACAAAAAAACTGGCTGGACAAATGTTGGAAGTATTGGGCAAAATGGAAAAAGTCCATAATTCTGGATTTTGTTTGTAGCAATAGTTTCCGGTTGTCTTCTGAATCATCAGACCAAGTTCAATGACTCCAACTTTTGTCTGGTTCAGGCCAGACAAATATTTCCTGAGCCTAGTCTGCCTGCACCAGATTATTGTTTGTACTCTCACATGCACTCACATTCAGTCTCCAATTTTCCCCTGGATTTACACTGTTTTGTGTGACTTTATTAACATATTAAGTAAAATGCAATTAACAGTGACTTCCAAAAGTAAGTGGCTGGTGGCAAGAATAATGTTGTTGTCAGTGTTAAGCAGAAACTCGAACTAATAAAGAGGGTTGAGTTTAGCGCCTCAGTGGCCCAAGTATATGAAGAATGTGATGTTAAGAAACAGTGTCTGATAGCTATAGAAGCAAGGGCAAACTTGCAGACTATGCTCTTAAGTTTAATGTAGATGCTAGCTAAACTCAAAATAAAAGGTATTCTGAGTCACCACTACTGATCATGGCAGTTTACACCTTGCCTCTCTTCCATGACAAGGTAGTACAATTATTGTAAATTACATACCTTACTGTAAAATGCTATTAAGTACAGTACTATAGCAATCTACAAGTTAAAACTTTTTCTTAGTGTCCGGTTGTTTCTGAAACGGCAGAAAAAATCTGTTAATTTGGGAAATTTA